CGGCCCAATCCCTGCCCTCCCTCCCTCGTCTTCCTAAGCAGGTCCTGAATTCTCCCTTTGTTCACTTAAGTTCTCCATGACTTTGGGCCCTCTGCTCCTTTCCTGGCTTTAGTTCTCAGTTTCCTGGTAACACGGCTGATCTCAGCTGGCCTGGCCGTGGGACCAGTCCCCACTGTGCTGCCAGTACCATTGCCTCATCCTTACCTGGTATTGGTATTGGCCCAGCCACTCCTCTTCTGTCACTGTTCCTCTTGCCCTCACTTTATGACCGTAATGTCAACAGGCCTTCTTTCTAGTTTTACTATTTGATTCTCAGGCTTCTGAAAGATCTTGCACAGTATTTAGTGTCTTATATGTATTAGCATTCAACTCCTCGCTTTGCCCCTTCATTGAGTTTTTGCCACTTTCTCCTCCTCCAGATTATGTGTTGAAGTTTCCGTGAGAGCTGGGGCAGCAGACAGCCTGAGGGACACCACAGTTAAAGGAGTCACTTCATTTATCCTTGGCTGATAGATAAAAAGAGAAGCTGAATCCCGGACAAGGAGACAAGACCTGAGTTTAAGGACAGGCTCTGCCACCTAATGGTGTTATGAGGCTGAGCAACCTCATGGGGCCTCAGCTTCCTCACCTGTTTAATGTGGATGATAATCTCATCTCCCTGCACCTCAGAGCTGCTCATTTCACTTGAGTTACCATAAGTGAAAACAATTTGAAAAATACAACTGTTCTTTACAAATTAAAGGGATTATCCAGAAGGAGAAAAACATGACTGTGAATAAATGTTCTTGGTTTATCCTGGATTTCCTCGGTCTACAATAAAACCAACTGAAACCATGTTTTGACTAGTGACTCAGACTTCCTAGTTGCCATTTAGATGGCGATATTAGTGAATTCTGGACTAGGACAAAACTATTTGTGATCTGGCTTTGCACTTCTAAAACCCCTCCCCCTGCTTTTTTCCCAACCCCCAATAACCCCCAAGAGATTTGTACTTGGATTACTGAGGCTGGGTCTGAGTTGGAATAGGGCTGGTCCTCAGGGTGGAGGTTGGGTAACTGACCTATTGCCTTATTAGAAGTCACTGGTCATTGTACAGGAATATTTATCATGCTAATAGCTTTGGAATGTGGGCTGATAATTCTTAACTTGTTGCAAAATAAAAATATGTGAGAAGCCCCAAGAGCTTAAAGCAAACAATAAATGCCAGGGATGCATAATATCCCCGATTATCTAAGCCACAAGGCCAGAATATGTATTAATATGACAGCACAGACCATAAATCTGTGCCTAAAGCAGTGTGGTGGGAGGCCCTTTAGAGATGGAAACAGCATAATAGTCAGAGTCAGATGCGATTAAAATGTGATGTGAGATACTTGATAAAGAAGATGAACAAATAATCCATTTAAAGGCTCCTTAGGGGAGCAATAGTTTGGTGAAAATTGTGAGCTTAATGGATTTGGTCCACAAGAGTTAGATTTTGTCTAATTATAATCCTCAGTGTGAAACGTGCTGCATAGAGTAGGTGCTTAATAAATAATTATTTAATAAATAATGAGGTATTGCATTGATTTTTGTGACCGGGAAATGGGAACTCATCTGCTGCTGGAATGACCAAGATGAACGAACTTCCATCCTCCAGGGCCTCTCTCCATGTGGCTTTTCATCATTCAGTATCTTGCGGGAGCATCTTCACAGCATAGCCATAGGCTTTCAAGTGAAAATGTTCCAATAGGACATGCCCCAGTGTATAAGCACTTAGTGAGTTTCTGCTCTATCTCATTTACTGATGGTCCATTGGCCAAGCAGGTCACATGGCCAAGGACAGCGTTAGTGTGCGAGGGGATTAGACAAAGGGTGCGTTGGAAAGGGGTTCATTGAAGGGAACCAATGTGAATCTCTCACAAGGCTGCTTCCTGTCTGTAGCCAAACGTGGAGCCCTGTTAGCCTCTATTATTCTATGAGAGCTGAACCCTGGCTCACGACTTCTTGCTTCCACATACAGAGTCCAGGACTTACATGGCTTTGGTCTGACTACCATTTTGTATTTTGGTTCTGTTTCTGTTACATGGAAGTATTTATGCGTTTTTTTGTGTGTGTGTTTTTTTTACCACGGCTATAACATTTTAATTTTCTCATTTATATTATATCTTATTTTTTCATTAAAGCAGAATAAGGAGTGAGGAGCCTCAAAATATTCATTGAAAATGTCATCTTGGCTGGAAATCTGGGTGGGTCAACATCAAGTCCATTTTGCTTGATAAGATCCTTTACCAGCTTTTTCCAACTTCTACTGGAAACGCCACCCTTCTCCTTTTTGAACCCTTCCCCTTATCTTCCCTTGTATAATTACACAACACTCTCCACTGGACAGTCAGTACCTCTCTCTGTACCTTGCTCATGTTGTTCTTGGAATGGTGTTGCTCCCAGCTAAATGCTGGTAGCTAGAAATACTCTTTCCCTCCAAAATCCCGGTATTTCTCTTGTGGCATTGGTCACTTCCTACCGTTTATCATATATATTTACATATGCCTTAACTCTGTCTTGGTTTCTTGAGGGTAAAGCTCATGCCAGATTTTCCTTGCCTTGGGCCTTCTACATAGACGGCAGGCTCTCAATACAACTGTGTTGCCTTCCCACCACAACATCATTATCCAAGGGAACAGATTTACATATGCATTTGCAATGAGCTGAGTTTCAAGGGAAGGGGATATCCACATTTGTTTTACACCTTCTCCATTGATAGGTCATTTTACACTACAGCTGATACTGATTGCCCTCATATTTTATTAAGTGTAATCAGAATATACTACATATAAGTATTTTAGTCTACATTTAGTGGTTTCTAAGAAAATTCTCTAAAGGCATACCTTGATTTCATACATTTAGGCAGACCACTATAATTAGAATTATCCCCAGATTTATAGCTTAATCCTGCTGCTACAACTTTCTTTTGACTTTTCGAAAATAGCCTTTAATAGAGACCCTTGTTTAAGGTTTAACTAACTATAAATAGAGTTTTGTACCCATGTGAGTTTGTGAACCATGTGCAGAAGCATGATTTTTTTTTGCCTTTTAATGCTCTGTGCCTAGGTCAGAGACTGTAAGATGATGAATATTAAATGTTTTCAGACTTTGTTGGAACAGCCTGCAGTTTTCTCAACCTCTTTCCCCCACAAAGACTCAGCAACAGTGTGCCTTAATGAATATCTATTTATATAAAGGTCAGCCTATTCCACAGTATTTAAAACACAAAAAAGTTTTCCAGAAAAGTGGATCCCTTTATACTATTGATAAAAGATTTATGAAAGCTAGGAAAGATAAAAAGCTCTTAAAACACAGGGACTATGTTTAATATTCCTTGTATTCCTTACAAAGCCTTGTACAGAGCAGGCACTCAGTAAATATATTTGATGATAAAGAGAAAATATTTGTTCCGATTTGAAAAAAGATCACAACTCTTAAAGGAGTATTGACGTTAAGATCTTGGGGGATTCATGGCAGAATTTCAAAAGTGTATTGTGATCAGAACTACAGGCAAACTATAGATTCAATAATGAGGCTTAACTCTCATTTATACCTTTCAGAATGTCTATCCATACTCTTTGTATAAAACCTCTTGCAACAATGAAAAGACCAAATCAGTGTTATACCATCTGGTAGTATCGGTGTTATCGCTGAAGCCAACTGCAAAGTATTTAGCTTGAATAAGTATCCCTTAGTCTTCATCACCTTTAATCCCTGATGCTTCAACATTAACACTGGGCAGAGTATCTATTCCTACTTGTGCTTTACTTATTACAGTTAACTCATTAATATCCTAATGAGTTAAAATCCTGCAACCAAAATGCTCTTTGAATTGTATCATTGCACTGTAATTTTTATAAGGTACACTCTATGTAATATTTTCAATACATTTTATTGGGTGTATAACGTGTGTCAGGGACTGTGTTGGTATTGGATAAAGAAACTCATTAATACAACTAAAACTTATTCAACGTCTATTACCAGGAACAGACGGCAAGGCAGACATTTAACGAGCAAATACAATTGCCAGTTTTCAGAAAGAAGTTCATGTGAGATTCCAAGAAGATACAAGTCTTTAAGGATCAGGTTGAGGAAGAGGGGGGACAGCAGCCAGGCAAACAACTTGAATATCACCTGATAAATGCTATACCAGCATAAGGCCAAAGCACTATCAAAATACAAAAGAGGGAGGATTTAATTCTCTCTGGAGGTTTGGGGAGGGCATCAGAAAGGAGCTGAAATCTTCAGGTTATCTACAGGCTTCAAAGGGCTGCTGGGTGAGGGTGTGTGGGAAGGCATTTGTTCTCGAAAGTGTATGCAGGGCAGGGCTGGGAAATTCCAAGTGCTGACTCTGAGGAGTGGATCAGACCTCTCCCACTGATTCATTAGCTTCTTGGCCAAGCACCACCATAGCCAGTTGAACCAGTTTGAGTGGGAGTTGATATTTCAGGTCAGACCTCAGATATTTTTTTCTCCAGAGTGTAGGGTTGCCAGATAAAATACAAAATACCCAGTTAAATTTGAATTCCAGATAAATGATGAATAATTTTTTAGCAAAGTCCCCAATATTTGGGATACACACACACACACACACACACACACACACACACATATAATATTTATCTGAAATTCAAAATTTTTAAAAAATTTGATTTGATTTCACTTTTTTTTGTATTTTCATTTGTTACACCAGGGAACATTACCAGAATGACAAGAACCAGCACGGTTCTGTGGTGACACAGATAATCAGAAACAGAACGCCACCATGACCCCGCCTTTCTGTAGCCTTCCCACCCAAGTCTCTCCAATTGGAAGCCAGAGAGAACAGGCGTCTAGAAAACAGACGCTGTAACTAGGCAACCAAGGTTCAAACCCACCCGATCATTCAAAAGATCCAGGTTTAGAAACGCGATGCATTTTGGGAGTTAGTTTGCTAGGTTCAGATTCGCCTTCAAAGGCCACCAGACTACAACTCCCAGCAGCGCTGCAAGGCACGCTGGGAGTTCTGGCTCTACCCTCTGAAGGGCCCTGGAGGGCTGCATGTGTAATAAGAGCCCAGAGTTGATTTTTAGAGGTTCGCAACATTAGGAATTCATATAAAAGGTTAAACCGAAGATTACTGCTTTCAGTGCAGAGACGACAAGTCTTCCGGAACACCGTGGGGACATGTACCACTGCGTACAGATTTTACATCCCACGCTGAAGGGTGGGGACTGAGAGCCGCTCCTGCACGTGATTCCTGCGCCTTTTTGTTACTGGCTCCTTCAGGGACGAGGCGCTCGGGCGCGGACGCCCCGGATTGGTGTTTCAGGGCAGCGGGGTGGGACTCTGGCTGCTGCCGCGGGAGGTCCGGACACTGGCGGCCATGGAACTCGCCGGTAAGTGTGCGTCTGACCTCCCTGCGCTGGCACTCTCAGCCGCTTCCGGGTGGGACTGGACTGCCCCGGTGGGAGTGTGCCCAGCCACGTAGGGGGCAAAGCCGGCCCGGCTTGAAGCTCGCAAGTCGGGGTCGAAGGTCTCCGGACTCGAGTGGGGCTGAGGATGCGCTGGAGCGGACGCGCTGGAGCGGATTCCGCGCAACCTAAGCCGGGCGGGGCTCCGGGATACCCGGCCTCAGACCCCTGCCCACTCTCTGGCCATTTTCCTCCCTTTGGGCCTGGCAAGACCCCGCGTGAACCTAGCGGGGTCGTCCCTTCTTTGGCGCTCCCCACTGCCCTCTCAATGAGCGAAGCCGGGGCAGTTGCCCAGGGGTTGGGTGGAAGCTCTGTCCTCTTGACCCCAAGCCCCCGCCGGGTCTCCCTAAGGCTTCTCGGGAACCTCTGCTGCTAATGACTGCCCAGGGACTCACTGGCCCTGGTCGAGAATTTTGCAGCTACCGCGCATTTGCCACTTAAGTGGCTGGGTGGGGACCTTGGATAAATCGCTCAACTTGTCTGGCTTTTCATTTGTAGAATGAGAGGTATTCACTAGATCTCCTAGCCTTCCTGTAACTTTACAATCTAAGATTCTGTGAAGACGCCGTTCGTTGACCTTTTCCGTCATGTAGATGTTGGGCTGTAAAAACCTGATGGAAGTAGGCAAAGTCCTCACAGCACATTGCAGGTCGATGAAAAACTTTAAATGATTTCATTTGGTTTTTTACTTAATGTTTTCGTTGTTTATCTTTTTAATTGACTACAACTGGGAATTCGGGCTTAGATGACAAACCACTGTTAAGAAAATGTTAGTGAAGTAACAAAAGTAAAAACTTGAAGAATCTCAATATTTGATAATATTGAATCTTAATTAGTAAATTCAGGTCACCAGACACTTATAGAGTATTTCTGAGAATATCTTTAAAATATAGATGAGTTTGTTGGAGAGAGTGGATAGTTAAGACTTTGTATCTGCAGTTAGTTTGCATTTTCTGAGTCTGCAGGTGACATTGGGAACTCAGACCTTTACGATGGCTTCCCATTGTATAGCTGAGTTTCTGGAGGCATGGAAATCTCATTTGTAAAACTGAGGAAAATTTTCAGTAGGTTTCTAAGACTCTACCTTTAAAAGTCTAAGAATCTGTAACAGTATTGAATATTGAATGGGCATTTTGTGCTGATAAGGACCTAGGAGTCCCCTGAGATAAACATTTCCTACTTTAGATGTAGAAAATGGCCCCAGATCCAGCCCATCTCTAGCTTAATCTCCTTCGGAAAGGCCTACATAACTGAAAAGTTAAGAAAATAAAGGGAGCAGTTTGATTATCATCATCCTTGAATAAGGAAACAAAATGTGGATGTCTGCAGTATGTGCTACCAATGACACTTGAAAAAGCTGCTCTCCAAAAGACAGCTCTAGCTCCAGGTATATTTTAGTATAAACCACAAAGCTAATACTAACAGAACTTCATGAGATTCACTGAATTAGTGGCTAAGCTCAAGTGGGGTTGGCACACTTTTTCTGTAAAGAGCCCTACATGTAATTATTGGAATGAACTGGCTTGTTTGCATGGCAAATTATTATATACTATGGTGTAACAAAATTTATTTTTGAAAATTATGTATAGCAGCCTTTTTAAAGCAAAATTAAGATAAAAGGACATTACTGAATGTAGGTTTGTTGTATGGCGCATAGTAAATGCTAAGCAAGTAAATGTCAAATGAGTAAATTCATGATATGCTTTGTTTTATTTCTTGGGGAAAAGTTAACCAGTGTACATTGACATGAGTCAAGGGAATTGTAATAGATATGTATGACATGGGGGGGGGAAGTGGGGCAGCGGATTGGGGGAGGGGGAGTTGTCACCTTGAGGAGTAAAAAGTATAACTATTGCACTGTGTTGTACAGCTGAAACTAATTCTAAAAATGTATTTCACAAGAAAAAATAATTAAAACCACAAACAAACAAAAACCAGTATTGATATATGGATTTGGAATATGGAATGTATTTTGTCTCTGAGCTGAGGTACTCTTTTACTCTCTTTTTCAGGTACTGGACGACACGTATCTCAACGGGGTTGCTCTAAGGACTAATGCCTACACCGTCTCAGCATGGCCTATCGAGGACGACGTGGCCATCCTCGCTTTGCTGCGCGCTACCGTGTTAACCGTGGAACTCTTTACACCTATAGAACCCGTACCCATAATATATGCATGGTTTCGGATTTTTTCTACCCGAATATGGGAGGCGTGGAAAGCCACATTTACCAGCTCTCTCAGTGCCTGATTGAAAGAGGACACAAGGTCATAATTGTCACCCATGCTTATGAAAATCGCAAAGGCATCCGTTACCTCACGAATGGCCTCAAAGTCTATTACTTGCCTCTGAAAGTCATGTACAACCAGTCTACAGCCACGACCCTGTTTCACAGTCTGCCATTGCTCAGGTACATATTTGTTCGGGAGAGAGTCACGATAATCCATTCACATAGTTCCTTTTCTGCCATGGCCCATGATGCCCTCTTCCACGCCAAGACAATGGGGCTCCAGACAGTCTTCACGGACCATTCCCTTTTTGGATTTGCTGATGTCAGCTCGGTGCTTACAAACAAGCTTCTAACTGTGTCTCTTTGTGACACAAACCACATAATTTGTGTCTCTTTTACTAGTAAGGAAAACACTGTACTAAGAGCAGCACTGAATCCTGAAATAGTGTCCGTCATTCCTAATGCTGTAGATCCTACTGACTTCACTCCAGACCCATTTAGAAGGCATGATAGTATAATAACTATTGTTGTTGTCAGCAGACTTGTTTACAGAAAAGGTAATGAAATGATAGCTACAATTGCACTGCACAGACTTCTTGTTGTTGTAGAAAGCTGTTGAATATTTGTATATAATGATTGTTTGGCTGTTTGTTTTATGGTTTTATGACTACTACATTAAATATAGCAAAGAAAGGTGGAATATTGTTTTATACATCCAAAAAATTTTGGGAACAGTGGTGAATACTGTCTCCCCGGCAACCTTTGATGTTTTAATAGTTACTTAAAAACAGTAACCTGATCAGGTCTTTTTAAGTTAAAACAGCCCTGCACATGTGGTAAGAAGTATAAGGCTGAGCCCACCACCGATTTCTAATTGCAAAAGTAATGTCTTTGCAGATATTTTGAAAACTAAGAAAAGCACAAAGGTGAAAACTAAAATCAGCTATAATTGCACTCTTCAGGGATGACCATATGAATATTTTAATTTCTAGCTTTCCTGTCTTTTTTATGCATAGACTTGAAATCAGTTAGCTTGTCCTGCACATTACTGATTTGTAGCTTGTGCATTTCATTTAATCATAGATAAGGCTTTAGTAACATATTGGTAGGTAAGTGATGAAGGAAAGGGGATTACATGGCTTGGAGTCCGATCTTACTTCTGTCTCATTTGTGTGATTGAGGACAAGCTACATAACATCTCTTGAGTCCCAGTTTTTTCATTTGTATAATTTGGGCAACAGTGGAAGTCTTGTGAGGGTTCAGTGATGGCTCCTATAAACTACTTAGCCCAGTTTGTACTTGATAAGTGTTCGCTGTTATCAAGGAGGATTTTTTTTAGTAGCTCTGCCGCACTTAATGGACACCACAGTAGAATTGGCAGAGCCTCATTTACTAAGCCTGAAACAGTCAGGTTATTCCAGACGTAAATGGTCTTTGGGATGCTATTTGAAAACCTGTCTAGTAATCATAATTAAAGTAAGGAATCATTAAAAAGATAATAGATAGCCTCCCCTTAAATATTTGAGTTCAACTCAAAATGTTAACATGGACTGAATTGCCAGTAGTTCAGGCCCGCAGTCTTAAGAGTATCGGTCCACTGATTTGAGCTGCATCATCTTTCTTGCACAATACCTTCAAAAATCATCATTTACAATTGCCAATTTGGGTTTGTTTAAATGGGATGAGAACCTAAGGGCGTGTGAAGCAATGTGCTGGATTTTTCATTTGTTTTTGATTTCATACAGTGGTTTCGGATACCCCCTAACTTGAGCTTTTTTCGGTGACTTTTCCTTTATTGAATTTTTCAGACCGTTCAGCTTATTTTCATAAAAACTCATTTTATCAGTTTCTGTGCTATTGAATGAAATTACCCAGTTGGGTAACAAGTGCAACTGGCATCAAACAGGTTTGTGGACAGCACAGGTGATTTTTGGTAAGCGCGAGTGTACCAGGGAGCGGGGCTAAAATCCACTCTGCCCATTGTCATGGAGAGCTGTAGTTGATCAGGCAGGCAGTCCATTTCGGCGGAGGCTGGTGAGGAAACTGCTACTGAACGCCTTTCTGGGGTGAAAGCAATGATGCGCTTCCATTCTTTTTTTTGAGAATTTTTGTAAGAATTTATTTGAGCCACACTGATGACCTATGCTGGGGAGCAAGATCTCCAATGCTCCCCGTGCTTGCATTCTTGAACCAAGATGTTAATTGACCAGCATTCTGTATTCTGAATCCCTTGGGATATTTGCTGATGTGTTCGTTAGAAAATGTGCTTAAAATGTTTTTTAATCAAATCGTATACCTTTGTGAGACAGCTAGCTGAAAAAGAGTATGATGCATGCATGGTTGAGGATCAGAGCAAAATGAACTACTTGTACGATTAAACCTGTACTTCATTAATTATAGTATTTTCACCAGCTGAGCTAACCAGCAACAGGGTGAAGGAATGGCCTTTCCTGTTCTCAATTCAATAATTTAACATATACGTATTGAACCCTGTTTGTATGCCAGGCGCCTTGCAAAAAGTAACCTGAGAAGGAATGGCCACATCTGTAGCACAAAAGTGAGTAGTTGTATTAGTTATCTTAATGGTCCGTTAATGATTAAGAAATTAATTTCTTTAGGAGGTGTTCATTTGGACCAGATATCGAAGGCCCACTGGAATGTATTAAGAGAGAATAAATCAAAATTCTTATCACCCAGCCTTCCTGGCTGGTTTCTTCCCACTTCTCTTGAGCTGGTTTTGCTCAGTCAGGGTTTTACAGTGCCCCTGTGTGTGTGCAGGCATGGCCCCACTACTTGCTGTAGTGGTAATGACAACTTATATTTATATTCTGCAGTTGATAAAACCTATGCATGGTACACTACCTCACTTGACACTCCCAACAACTGTAGGGTAGATGTTATCGGCATGTAACAGACAAAGAAACTTGAGTCTCAGAGAGGGTAAGTAACTCGCCCAGGTTACACAGTAACAAAGATGACAAACATGAGTTCAGCTCTTTCTGAGTTAAGGTCTCGTGTTCCCGCCACCATTTTCTTAGGTATAGATTCTGGAGATTCTTTGAACTATTGTTAAACTGAGCTTTAAAAGCAGTTCGAATCAGGAATTTTCCGTGTCCATTTTGTGTGTCAATGGACATGGGAAGTCCTTTTGTATGTTCTGTTGTGTTAGACTCTGTTTAGAGGCACTAGAACATTTTTTTTTGTGGAGGAAAAAACCCTTTATTTTTAAAATAATATAGATAATTGACAATATCAATCAGTTCCATTTCTTATAAGGTACTTGTCAGGATTAAATGACATAACTGCATTTAAAGTATATTGCCTGACATGGTAAGTACTCAGTAAATGTTACCTATTATCAGCAATTATGATTATTTCTCTATATGTGTTGGTTTTTTTCATTTGGAGAAGGGGTTCCTAAGCTTTGTGTTAGAAGGGAGGAAGGGGAAAGAAAGGAAGTGAAAGAATTATAGGAGGCTAAATGTTAAAAGTCATTAAGCCACCTTCTGGTTTATGTAGAAACCCACTTGATGGATTTAGTAATGGACTTGAAACAAAGATAGCTAAGATTTTAATGAGAAGCCTTCATAATTCAAAAACGCTGCATGCGAATTTGTTTGCCAATACAATCATTTTAAAAATACTAGCAAAGTTTATTTAGTAAATCCTATTTTGAATTATTTAATAAAAATGACCCTGTATATACAGAGGGTGCCAACAAAATGGATACACATTTTTAGGAAGGAAAACTGTATTAAAATTGTAATAATATATACCGATAACAAAAGATGAATACAAGTCCTGTGTATACATTTTTTTGGCACCCCGGTATATCTTCCAGCACTGTTTTTATAATTGATCTGCCTATATTGGGGAAGGTTGATAGAAGTGTGATTCTGTGTGTGTGTGTGTGTGCATGCGTGCATTTCTTAAAATTAATTAACTGGGTTATTTTACTTTTACTTTGAATGTGTACAATTTGTTAATGAGCTAAATTCCCAAATAGTGTCAATATTGCTGTCACTTTGGATAGCCACTTTCAGACTAGTAGGGTATGATTTATTTGATCGCTTTATGTTACCTGAGGTTGTATTTACATAGAAAAGTATTCCATTAAAAAAAAGGAACAAAGATGCGTCCATTTGTTGTATGGACTGTAATGGTCTGGCAGTTGAGATCCTGCCACTTTCATTTATTCTCCTTTAGGGGAAGCGGGCTATAGCAGGTTTAGATGGACCACTCTTTTAAAGTTTGTCAATACTATCATATTACTGCAAAATCCTCTGTACAAACTGCATTCTGTGTGTAGTGGAGGTTAGCCGTTATACCCTGTCGCTTAGCCCTTTCCTGTGGCAGGAAGTGGAATCATACTGGTGGAACTCTATAGCTGAAGCAAGAGACCTTGGACTTCAGGTACATAGGTCTCTTCACTTTCTGTATCAGGAAATTTTCCCATTATCAAAGCGCTTCCTTGTTAAAAGGCTAGCACAAGACCTAGGTCTCCAGCTAGCTGTCCTACTCTGTAGAAAACTTGAACTCAAAAGTGAGCTACCCCAAATACCATTTTTAGAAGTGGGTGATGGATAAACACAAGTGAATAACTTAAAAGAACATTATGTGGAAATGAGAGTAGTCCACAGATTGGGTGTGTGCAAGGTAGCAGTGGATGTCAGTGTGTGTATCTTCAAGAATTGCAACTTTTGGGGGACATCTGGCAGTTTGTGAATGATTCCACCCTCCCCGGAAAGGTTTAAGAGAATTAATTTTTCTGCTTAAGGAGGGCATAGTTAATACTTTCCAAAGTGAGTGGATTCTCAGTAGTTCCGGTGATTTTTTTTTAAGTTTAAATATTAATATCTCCAACATTCAACTTTATTTTCTATTTTCAGGGACCGATTTGCTTAGTGGTATAATACCTGAACTCTGTCAGAAATATCCAAATTTAAATTTCATAATTGGAGGAGAGGGACCAAAGAGAATCATTTTGGAAGAAGTACGGGAAAGATACCAGCTACATGACAGGTATTGATGGATTGCATGTTATCTTGGTTGAGAAAATATCAGTTACCCAAATTCACTTTTGGCTCCATGCCTATATTAAGTGGGCTGCTTCTCCTACATATACTTAATGTACAAATGTAATTCAAGGCCTGTTTAAAAACATTTACATAAAATGGGAAACCCTAGTTAATTCACAATTTTATTTTTCCCGTTAGCGCAATATCATTTGACTTTACAGGATAGTGATTGGAGGCACCCTGGAAGGCACAAAAAAACCTAACTGCTTTGATTGGAAATGTTCACAGATTTTTAAGCCATACCAAGTTGTGATTTAAATAGCATGGCCCAAATCATGTCAGTTGCTCTGCACATACAGATTTGAACATTTCTCTTCCCCAGTTACTTAGATAACATGCGAGGTGTGTGCCTGTGAAGCATCAGTTTAAAAGGGACATTTTCCTGTTTAGAAATTACACTAACATTTACTCATCAGAGTGTATTAATATTTTCATTAAATGCAAATGAATTTTGGAAAAGATGAAATTTGATATGTGTGACAAAAGTTAGAATATGTTTTATTTATTTTTTTAGCTGAGCCATCCTGCCACCTGTTGGCAGCTCAGCGGCAGCTCTGCTTGAGCCGGGCATCAAACCGCTGTTGCTCAGAGCTCTCACTCTTGAGCGAGCTCCTAACCAACTGAGCCACTCAGCTGGCCCGAGTTAGGAATATGTTAACTGTATGCGTTTTAACCAAACAGCTTTGTAATCATTTAGATCAAAGTTTGGCAATATTAATCTTTCGAGGTGGAAAACATGAGAACCACTAAGAATATAAGTATAATATGAATAGCACACTTGGCTCATAAATGATATTTCTTTTCTAGCATGAATTTTCATTTTCCTCTTCTCTCATTTCAAAAATCAGAGTGCGTCTCTTGGGAGCCTTAGAACACAAGGATGTTAGAAATGTCTTAGTTCAAGGACACATTTTTCTCAATACTTCCCTTACCGAAGCGTTCTGCATGGCAATTGTGGAAGCAGCCAGTTGTGGTTTGCAGGTAAAAAGCTTTGAGGGCTTACATTGTGGGGATTTCAGTGCTTGTATTTTGAAAACTAATCAGACACATTCTGTTATAATTTTTACATTGGTTTTGCTTATTTCCCTGAGATACGAATTATGGCAGATTGTATGTTTTTTTTTCTCTTTTGAAGGTTGTAAGTACCAAAGTTGGTGGAATTCCTGAAGTACTTCCAGAAAATCTTATTATTTTATGTGAGCCTTCTGTAAAATCTTTGTGTGAGGGATTGGAAAAAGCTATTTCCCAACTGAAGTCAGGAACATGGCCAGCTCCCGAAAATATCCATAACGTAGTAAAGACTTTCTACACCTGGAGGAATGTTGCCGAGAGAACTGAAAAAGTATGTCATGTGCCAAGAAAAGGGTATTTGAAGATTGTGTCTGAATTCCTGATTCATGTATACGTTTACTTTTTCTTATTTATACAGGTTTACTGTTTCAGTTCTATTGCTTAAGCTTATGAAGTCTCTTCCCAATGAAAAGACGTGAACTAATGGATTACTTTTGGTATATGCTAGACTTCAAGTTTCTAGTCAGATCGTTGGATTTGACATCTGAAAATAGCAGTCATGCAGTCTAGACCTTTGATTAAACTGGGCATAAAGAAGTTACAGAATTTTCTAGAGGCCACACCATTGGAGGCAAAACTAATATTAAAATCTACTCTTGGACATTTTTGTGAGGCTGTTTATCATTCTAAAGTGTATAGGTCTGTCAGAAAATACATGGTTTTACTTAATCTGATTGTGGAAACTTTGTAACTTGTAAATATTTAATTCAGGTTACTTCCTAAAACTCTTGTGTCACTTTTGCTAACTACTGTGATTTTCTACAGGAAAAGGATTTTTGCATCTTTGAGCTGATTGAGAACCTAAGTTAGAATTCAAAATGCACATGACAAATGTCGGATATATGATCACAAATAAAAAGCAGCAATAGAGAATTTCCGAAAGGACAGGTACAGGAAATAGATTAATACCCTTAGGTGGGAGAGTTCGGTTATGGGAAATGCTTCCTGGTTTCAAGTCAAGGACTTCATTTATTCTACTCAGTTTCATCCGTCCTTTGTTTAGGTATTAATATCTTTCATTACTTTGTCTGCCTCATGCCTTTTAGTAGCATGTAAACAAGCTGGATGGAAACACCCTGCTTCTTAGTATATAGAAATTGAGAACCAGACAGTTAGTGAGTTGGGAGCATGGAGAAGATAGTAGTTTAGACTAGTGCTTTCTGCTATCATTGTAGTCAGCGGAGCACCTAGTTTCTAGCCTGAAGATGGAGCTGAGTAAGCAGAATAGCTCTTTCCTGCATGGCTTTCTTACTTGGTTTAAATGATAAATTCCTGTACATAAGAAGAACCCATATTTGAATATAAGTACAAACATTGTCATATCCATTTTCCATTGAACCAGGAGATATTTGAGTTAAACAATTTTGACTGAAATGTCTCTGAGACACTAACCTTCTAGAAGTTTTACAGTCTCTCCACCCATATGAAATAACTACCTTTCCCTGGGTTTCCTTTGGAAGTTGGAGTATAGCACTGATTACCTGCTAGGAGTACATGTCAGAACCACCTAGGTAGCTTTTTGGGGACAGTTTCATTCCATCTTTGTGTCCCTTGCTTCTCCAGCCACTGCCTAGATTCTAACATGACCTTTGAAGGGCAGAGGTGGCATTTGGGAATGGTTGGCAGGGATATTTGGTCAGACTGGTTTTTTCAGTGATACTCCACTCTGTTGAGACCCACAGCTCTGTAACTTGTGGCTCCCCCGTCTTGATCAACATCGTGTAAACCTCAGAAGTCTGAGCTACTGTAGATAGTAAGTTCAAGGCAAATAACTCTTTTTTTGTCAGCATATTTTAAGGGAGCTAACTAATTACGATTTTTTTAACCATAAATTTTGTTTAAGTTTTGCTTGAAGTACTAGTAAAAATCTGGATTTTTTTTCTATTTTATATTCTGTGGTGATTTATGGTATACATTCCAAAAAAAGTTACTCCTTGTATGTAGTGGATTGTCATGTCTATCATTCTCTTCCTAGTAAATTACTTGGGCATTTAAGGTTGAAAATTAATTGACCTGGAAATAAAAGGTGGACACGCAGGTCAGTTTGTAGTTGTCTTTGCATTCTACCTGTCCCACACATGACACTTTGATCCCTTTTGACTTCCCCTCCTTAGTCTGTGCTGTTTAGAAACTTGAACAAGTTATGATTTGCCCGTCTCAGCATGATTGTCAACATACTTTTGATTCAGAGGTATTCGAGATGTCCTCAAGGTGGAAGAGCCCGATGAAAACATCCTGTGTCTTTCAGAGGCCATTGGCCTGTAGGACTTGCGTTGCACATCATAAGTTTCTTGAGTTCAGAAGGAGGTGGTTTACAGACCTGATATGAGAAGCACAAGTAATGCTCAAATGCAATTAAAAACATTAATGTTGGCCCATTTTATGTGTTCAGAATAAGAATGTTTAAAGATCTTTGTTTTTTCTCATATTTCTGAGTTTAGTGCTTAGCAGTGCTGTAAAAAGCAAGCCACCTACTATCGATGCTCAGCAATAAAGCTTGTTGCCTTTGCCTGTACCCTCTATGAAGAGTTGCCCCGTTTCTTTCCCCTCCTCTTATTTGGAATCCGTGAAATGTTTCTGTACCTTCTCAGCCTCCGTGCTCAGCAACACAGCCTCACGTGGCTGCGGAAAGAAGAGCTGCTCTGTACCCAAAAAGAATCACACTGTAGCTTGTCATTCTCTGATTGTGCTTGATGTCTGCCAGGTAGCGAGCGGTGAACCTTAGAAGGCCTGTTCTGCTTCAGGGAGTCACTGCTGAATTAAACATGGCCTCGACAGAGGCGACCCGAGGAACACTTCCAGCTTCTCAGGACTTCAGAATTCTCGTAGTTGGTTGAAAGTGATGGTGGTCCCTAGGGGACAGGACCCGCGGCCTGTTCGTCTTTGTATGGCATGGCGTCTAGCCCGGTGTTTTGTCCATAATAAGTACTGCATGAGTGTTGGATCAGGAGGCAGTAATTTTGTAACGAATTTCATTAGCCACATCATTCCTATAACAACAACGAGATGTAAGCAACTTCCGTTTACATCTGTAAAGCGTCCCTGGGCATTGCTTGTTGTGGGTCGGAGGTGCTCATTCTCGGCCTCTCTCCTGCCAGGTGTACGATCGGGTGGCAGGAGAAGCTGTGTTACCGATGGACAGACGGCTGGACAGACTCATCTCTCACTGTGGCCCAGTAACAGGCTGCATTTTTGCTTTGTTGGCCGTGTTCAACTTTCTCTTCCTCATTTTCTTGAGATGGATGACTCCAGATTCTGTCATTGATGTTGCAATAGATGCCACAGGGCCAAAGGGTGCCTGGACTCAACAATATCCTTGCAATAAAAGACGGGGTGAGAATAACATGATGTCTAAAATCAGGTAGAAGGAAGCCCGGACTGGAAGATTTTAAACATTTGTAATCGTTCTAATTAAGACTATTCAAAATAACCTTGCTCTTTCTTTTTTTTTTTAAAGTTAATTTAGTAAGTTATGCTACCTCTATATCATTCAATGTTTTATTTTGAGGAAAGAGAAAAACTTATGCAACTCCTGAGTGTAGAAACTCCTTGCACTTATTTAAAATTTAGGAGAACATTTAAGCCACTCAGGTATGTCCTTTTCAGACTACTGAAATCCCTCTAGCAGAGATGTTTTCACATTATATTTTGGGAGCTTTCGGTGCTGAAGGGCCAAATGTTTTCTGGACTTTTTTTTTTTTTGGCCAATCTTAAGTGTTCTATCACTAACTAGATAGTCACCAGATGTTTACAAGTGACGTTCTTGAACATTTATTGTGTACACTCAGTGTTACATGTAATCAGCCGGTTTTGTGAGTAAAAAGATCCATCCATTACCAGCGTGTTTTAAGCACCTACTATGTGTAGAACACTGAACTAGATACTTCCTGCCGTGAAGGACCAGGATGCATTTGCTGTTTATCGCTCCAGCGGCCCACTTTATTGCAGTCACAGTTGACATGAAATGGTGAAACATCCAACATGCCAAAAATGCTCATGCTTTTAATGCCAGGAAACAGTTCGCCCGCATGCTCCGGGTACTTCCTTGAGCCTGTTGTATGCATCCTCCTAGGTGCAGCCTTCATCTTCAGTTGTGTTGATGGAAATGCCGTTTTGCTTTTTAATTACTAGGGACCGATACCACTGTTGTTGAGAATGCAGAGAAAACCCCTCCACATCTTTCAGTGTATCATTTAGTCCTCTGTAAATGCCTTTGTGTTTTCCGAGCAGAATGTATGAGGTGTGCCATCTCCAACTCAGATGCTACCCTGTACCTTTGAGAGAAGTCACTTCCCTTCACTTGTGGCCTAGCTGATGTCTGATAAGTATTGTCAGTGCGCAGAAGTCTTTACCCCCAGAATGTTTTGTTTATAGCGAATTGAGTCTGAAAATTTTGGGAACACAAGTCTCCTTGTGGATGGATGTGTTGTTAACTGTACTTGTTGTCCAGAGCCATGGGTTTTTAAACCCCAAACGATCCACATGGTGTGTCTTATTATTGGACTCCTTAGAATAAGTTTTTGTGATAACGGACTGAAATCAAAACAACGAGGCACGCGTGGGTGCACTAGATAGATTCTGCCAGTATTGTGATTCTGTACAGGATTTCTTTTTAATGACTATTTGCAAAACTGCTTTTTAAAAAGTATCTTAACATGCCTATTAACTGGTTGCCACTGATCTAGAAGAAATATATTTGTGTTTTGTACTAAAACACAGATGCAAGAGTGCAATTTTTAAAATCTAGACGTTAGGGGTTCTTTAGTTAAAGAAAAATGGACTGACCCAACCATTAAATCTTATTGGGATTTTTATGCAAACAAACTGACGTATATAAATATGGAATAAACAGTGCCAATCTTCATGATAAAGCGGGAACTGTAACATTTGGTTTTATTTATTCAGTAATTTTTAAAGGCATACTCTGTTTTTACATTTTTGTTTCTTGGGATTTTTTTTCAAAATTGTCATTTGATGATTGTCATTTATTTCAGATGGAAATAGGATTTAAAGTTCATGCATGTAAAATATGTAGTTTGCAAATTATTTTCCTTTCCTTTCAATAAATGGGAGTAAATTTGCTTGTTCTAGTAAATCTTGATTTTAGGCTTCCCAGGTACCTTAATTGTAACTATCAGTGTTGCACTGGCCAATATGTGGAAACATATTGTTCTACCCTGTTACTTACAGTAATTTGAAAGTGAACTTGCTGATGAAGAATTGATGAAAAATATATTGTATTTCTTTTGATGTTACAAAAAGTAGCACATGGAAGACTGATCTATGAAAACATGCTACATGTCCAAAAATAAAGACCAAAATGACATTTTGACAATTTTCTGAGTTTGTCTTTTTTTATGAACAGCGCTCCCCCGACGTCCTCCCTTGCACGCTCTGTTTTTCAGTGCAGTTCGGTGTGTTGATTGGCCTGCTTCTATTGATGAATCCCTCTGTCATCGTTTCTTTCTGGAATACTCTCTTTTACTTGTGGAATAGCAAGTTCAATTGTGCCTTTGTTTCCTGATCCAAACAAGTCCTCCTTGTTTTGCACTGTGCTAGAGTTACTGCATGCGACACATGAATACATGTCTTAACTGCTGTGTATATGAAGTATGTAATTACACTTTATCTTGTGAGCTATTTTAAGAGAAATTTGAATTTTGATTTCCTTCACAGAAACCAAGCTTCTCCCACCCCTTTTGTTGGAAGCAGCAGAAAGCATCACTTACATTGGTATGTTCTGATTTCTTACACTGAAACTTGATTTTGGTAAAGTCAAGGTATCATGGATCTGTGTTTACTTTTGTGAAGTATTTTTGAAGGCCTCTCTCTCCTCTCTCTCCTTCTCTGCATTCCCAAAAGAATCTGGCTAGATGTTACTGTATTGTATCATCCTGTGGCTGAATTTTTTAAATATGGAATTCTGAAACCAAGTTCTATACAGAATTTGATTTATATTCAACAGTACTTTGGGGAGTTGATTTTTCTTTATCCTTTATCATTTATGTTGGACAATGGCTCAGTGTTCGTCTGGATGCGGGGGGTGTGTGTGAAAGGGGTGGCGATGTCCCGGTTCGGACCTGTGGCAGTGTCTGGAGACATTTCTAATTGTTACAACAGGATGGGAGTGAGGCATTGGCATCCAGTGTGTTGAGGTCAGGGATGCTGCTGAATACCCTCCAGTGCTTTCGGAAGACGGCTCCCACCATAAAGGATTGTCTGGCTTAGAATGTCAGTAGTGCTGAGGCTGAGCGACCCTGGTGCTGTAGATGATTTCAGCTCGTGTAAAAGATACTGTGAATTTACTCCTTCAGTAGTTTTTTACATGCATCTCAGATGTATAGATGGACTCTTAGAAGTAGTATAGACATCCATTTGAAGCTTAAAAAAGTTGAGCTGCTCATGGCCAACTTTCCTGGTATGTAAAACAAAGTACAGCCAGCCACGTTTTAAATGAAAATCAAAGCCAAAACAAGATTGCATAATGTGATGTGAAGCAATATACATCACTGGGCTGACATGAGTAAATGGCCACCTTAGAGTACAGTTAAAGAACCATGAAAAGAGCTAAAATACTTGTGTTCATCCATGTACTTTCTTTCTTTTTTTTTTTTTTAAGCTGAGCCATCCTGCTACCTGTTGGCAGCTCAGTGGCTGGACTCGAACCGCTGTTGCTCAGAGCTCAAACTCTTGAGCGAGCTCTTAACCAACTGAGCCACTCGGCCGGCCCTCATCCATGTAATTTCATACATTGGCACTCTGCTGGGTAATTTAAACTTGGTGAAGTCAACCCTAAATGTTCATATTTGTTCTTGAGAATGGAAACAACACGAGATCTTTATGGTTCTGTGAAATGATGTGCCATGTATTGTGGTTCAAAGCTGTGTTCTCATGCATCAGCCTGTTAGCAGAGTATAGGGAGACAGTTCTTCTATAGGTACTCATTCTAATTTGAGTGCTACGAGAAACTCCCATATTTTTGCATAAAGCATTTATTCAATAAGATTTATTTAGTCTACTCTTATCATTTTAATTTGGCTTGCGTTTTCTAATAGGTTGTAGAAATTTCAAAAATCGAATATAGACAAGAATGAAAAGAGGAAAACTAGATTTTCCTCCCTTAAGTCGCCTCGGTGAGGAAAATTCAAAATAAATTATTCTCCCTTGTATTGGCCAGCTTCTTGAACAGTTAGGGTTACAGCTGAGCAGCTAGGGAAGGTGTTGACTAATAGAACCTTTGGGTACTTCACGCAGAACCTAGGGCACCTTCTTCATCCATTTCACTGTGACTCCTCCATGATCAAGGATAGCCCACATTTCCCAGAAAGAGGCAGCACCTTTACTGACACTTGAAATGGGAAGTGAACGATTCAGGAACTTTGCGGGGGGACCTTGTCATGGATGAAATTATTACAGTAAGTGGTCGAATACTCCCAGTCTGACACTTCCCCTTGGAGAGGCATCCAAGATGGGCCTTCTGTTAAATACTGCCTTAGAGTAAATGGTCTTTTTTAACTGGTCATATATTAGGTTTGGGCTTTGTCTCCCATAAACCTCAGAATGAAGAGAGAATGAAATGTTTCAGGGGCTCGACTTCCCCAGGAGCAGAGGATGTATTTGTACTGATTCGTGTGAACTGCAGATAGCTCGCTTTGTCCACATGGGATCTGAGAAGTTTCTCTTGTCTTTCCAACCCTGCCTTCCAACATAACGTAGCAAAAATTGGGATTTAGGAATAAAAAAGGTTTGGATGTGACTCCTGTGTGTGAGCACCGAGGAATGTAGGTCTAGGATTATTGGGTGTTTCCAGTTAGAAGGAAGTTTCTTTCGTTCATTTAACCTTGCCATGAATGTCAGCAGCACATGCAGTCTCCCAATCACAGTTAGCTTAGAGCCTACAGACTGAGCTCTCCGTAACAGGAGCACTGAGGGCTAGAAGGTTTAAAATAGATGTCATATGATACCAATTATAACTCAGTGAAATTTTGCAGTCCCAAGAACCTGTACAGAATATAAGCCAAAATGGAAGAGGGTCCTGTTTTCTATGGCTTTAAAAATATTTTTATTACAATGTTTGCTACTTTTCTTTTCTTGAAGCTTTTAATTAAAGTTTTTCTGGCTCTCTTAACACATTTCTATATCGTCAAAGGAAACAGAAAAGAGGCGGCAAGGATAGCAGAGGAGATCTATGGTGGAATTTCAGGTAAAAAGACACAAATTTGTTCCCACTACTTTTGTAAAAACCTCCTGGATAATTCATATGAATAATATTTCTAGAAGACAGGTTTTATGTATACTTTGGCTTTGAGTGGGTAGTTAAAAAAAATTATTGAAAGTAGCAAATGGTATTGACTGCACGAATTTGTGAAGGATTTTCAGCTTTATGTTTTGCAAGTTAGCAGTTCTGGTAACATTTAAGAAGTAAATAAAGTAGTGGCTTTCTGAGAGTATTTTGAGAAACCTCATTTCCGCTAACCAAAAAATTACTTATATAAGATAATTGTCTTGAACATTTTTTATCAAACTTGAACAATGCATTCTAACAAGACTGAGAATATCCTCAGGAAATAGAATGGCCAATAAATTTGATTTAACGCAGCACATGTGGCATGCTGTATTCATTTTTGTGCTGTCATTTGCAATTCGAATTGGTTAGCCACTTGTCACTGTTAAAAGAAACCCTTCACTAAACCCATTTACACGTGGCACCATGCAAAGCACTGCAAACAAAGGTTATTGTAATAGGAAACGCCAGCATTTGGGTAACACATTTTAAAGTCTTAGGCTTTGTAGAACTTAGTCTCCATTTCTTTCAAGAAATGATTCACCTTAATTGTGATGAGATGATACAAAAGCAGTCGAATCAGATACCCTTGTCACTGCTGGGATTGTCACTTAATAGAGGAGTATTTATTCATAAACAGTTCAGAATTGCCCGATGTGTTTTTAGTGTTCATAGCGTTCCAGGATTACATCATTCTTTATCTGGTATCCATTTCAATTTGCATCCAGGATTCTCTTTCAAAATAAACTGATGCTATGTGATTCGAACACACTAGACGACTTTGAAGACACTAGATAACAGCAGTCTTATCCAAGGAAATAAGACCTCCAAAGACGAAGCATCAGCATGCTTCAATTAACTGGGGAAAATGAGAAGAATCTTGACGTTTCAGGAAGTGTCAGAAGGCCTGGAGTGTGGAAAGAGGTTTCTTTTGGGGATTACATTTGTCACACATTTCAGGGAGGTATGTTGCTTAGACTGGTTTAAAAAAAAACCAAACAATTTTTTCTTTAGTTTCAAGTTAAGCATGATCTGAAAAGCTGTTTTGTAATTTAATTTATAAATCTGGGCAGGGGCTTTTAAATGGTTTCCGTAACACAGTTTTGTTCTCATAGATACATCGTCCTCATGGTTTATATTAGGTCAAGTCCAACAGAGTCAACGTCGGCAAGAGTGTTAAAAATGTTTTCTGTTGCTCGTGTGCATTACTTTTGTCTTTGTGGCCCTTAATTAAATATGCTCTTAAAAAGCTTTTATAATAGTCAAAATCCATGTAAGCATGGTTTAATTTAAGTCTGGAGCCATAATACAAATCTCTTAAATGGAGTTCATTTCATTCTTTAGCACAAGTATCTTTATTTGTTCAAGCTCCTAGGATAGTATTCATTTAATTTGCAAGTAGCATGGTGTAATAAAGTAAAAAATGTATTTTTCAATTATCATTAACAAGAGGCAGCAGGGAGAATAGTGCATGTTAATTTCTCAGTTTGATTTCCTTCCTATATATATATGCACGTGTGTGTGTGTGTGTGTGTGTGTGCGCGCGCGCATATTTGATATGTAGGGCTTTCTGTAATAATGTAGGAAGCAACATGCTAGAAACAGTGGTTTTTACATGATTCTAACAGTGTGTTTTCTTGTGAGACTGTTAGGAGTTAGATACTACATACTTAAAACCAGACATATTAAAAAGCAAGAACAAAATTTTGCGCAAGTGTTGAACTCAAACCAAAAATTACCTTTGCTGTTCGTTGGTCAAATGTTTGTTGGGAAAAAATGTGACATTTAATCAGTAAGTTAGCTAATTGGCTTAGAAAAGTCTTAGCCCAAGGTGAAATTTCTTAATTCCAGTAGCATATTATGTTCCTATAAACTATGCTCCGCACTGTCGAAAACAAGGGGAGGGCAGTAAAAAACTCACCTGGGGCGGAGCTTAACCTGTCATGGATCTTGGCACTTTTTCTTTTGGAAGCAGCGTTTAGCATCTTATCCCTCATTAAGTATCATTTCTTGACAGTAAAATCTTGGGGGACAAGTTGTGTTTTCTGGAGTTTCATATTCTGAAATACATCAGTCGATATGTCTTTGTGGTTTAAACTACGTATTACATTTGTAGATAACTCATCAGAATTGAGTTAAGCTGTGGTTGGCTTATTGTTATTTTGATGTTTTTCAGGCTGGTCTGTGTAGTTTGTCAATACTGTACATGTATATTTTTAAGTTTGAAACACTGTCAGTGGCCCTTGGCATTGCATCTGGAGCAGGATCCCACCTTCAGCCCATAGATATTTTTTGCAGGCACTGTCTCTCCCGAGAGATGGGGTGTATGATTTCTCAACCTTTGTTAATTTGGCCAGGATTGAAGCTGTATTCAGTACAGTGACTTGGTCATCAAACTTGATAAAAATAAAGTGTAGCTACAGGTGGATAATCTGCTTTCGCAACCCTTGGACCAGATGTGTTTCAGGATTCAGGAATTTGGGGGGATACTAGAAAGATGACACAGAGTATGTATCGTATATTACATAGCACTCCCAGCAGGACCCGGAACTGCCTCCCGTAATCACACATTTTGATATTTCTGTAGTGAACATATAAACAGTCACACTAAGTGGAACTACAAATTAAAAATAATAGGTTGCTTAACCAGAGGCCTGGCCATGTTTTGCTGCCAAACGGGTCTGTATCGACTTTGGTGAAAAACTTGGTTTTCAGAATTTGGGAGATATTACAATGGCAGATACGAAATTGTGGAACTATTTTACTCCCCCTTTTCTTTTTTAAAAAGGGCTATTTTAAGCTAAGTCTAAAAGAGTGATTCTATTCTGAGTGTTATGCTTCAAATCAGTTGTCCTCGTTGCTCTGGATTCAGAGGACTGACCTTGATTTGATGGCCACGCCTCTGCCTGACTCATCATCCTGACTCCTTTTTCCTATCCTGTGCGTTTGGAGAGATCCTCCTGCCTTTGGTACATTCTTGCCCAATCTTCTACCTAGCCTAGTACTCTTGTTCAGTTTTGCTGGTCGTTTCCTCAGCCTTGGCCCAGCCATCCTCTGAGTGGTGACATATCACAGGTGCCTGCTGGCTTTCCCAGATTGGGACAACCATTCCTCAGTGGGGGCCCCACCTGTAACCTAGCTCAGCTCTTCAGCTCCTAATGGGTTCAAAAGAACATTCTTTTTAACACACTACAAAAAGATGTTCATTGCGTGTGGCTCATCTCCCACCCAGAGCTGGGTGTTCTAGACAGTATACATTTTAACTCGATTTTATTATAATAATTTAGACATCTCAGGAAATGTATTATAATGTGGTTTTTTACAATTACCTTTGTTGCTTAAAATATCATTAATTCTGCTAGACCCTTGCCTGTGTTTTGGTTTAAAATTGAAACTCCTTTTGAATTTTATTTTCTTGGGTAACATGCTACAGGAGAAGATATTGCTTCCTATGATTTTAGAACTTGACTAAAGAGAATAAAGATTGTCCCATGTGTACTAGAGATTAAAACCAGTTAGGTTGTTTTTAAAAAATATAATAAACCTGTAATCTCAAATACTTGATGGAATTAGGAAGGGTAAAAATTGCAAAAAAAAATGTAAAAATCATAAGTGATTTTTATCTTGAATACTTGAAACTCAGCTGTATTCCATCTGAACCAATTTTGTTATTGAAATCTATGGTTTTTCGAAGTTGTCATGAAATTTGTTATTCAGAGATTCTGAGAAGTAGAGATATAAATTGTATTCTGAGAAAAAATCAAAGGTGGGAATGAAAAAGTACTTGAACATTTTCCATACACCTCATCAGAAACAAGTAAACATATTTATAGAGTAAACTATCTTTATAATGTGCTTGCAGCCCTGTGACACAGGCAGTCTGCCAAATAACTAAAAATAGACTGCCTTGGAAGAGAGTGGCTGATTCCTACTTAAGCATTCATTTATTTGGAGAGCTTGGTTGCATATTTCCTGAAAGAGATGGAAAAACTCCCTAGCTGCCAAATAACTTTTATCCTTAATTTCTCACAATTAGCTCCAATTTGCAAAACAAGAATGATAAAAGTGAGAGACTGCATGTCACGAATAAGAGCAGAAAAACAGGAGAGCCCACCTTCACAGTTTTCAGGAAAAGGGTTTTATGTGAAAACTCTTCCAGGTCCTTCGGAGCAAGTTTTGGAAAACAGTGTGACTGGAAAGGTGACTTCCTTAAGAACGGTTTTGTTCCCACTTGGGAAACAAACATGATTTCTACATTTAAGGCAGTACTGTAGATTTCATTTCACATTATCTATAGAGAGAAGATGGATATAGCGAAGCACTCCAGACAAGCAAATCTAGCACGAGGACAGGCAGAATTTAAACACCAGTAGTTCTTAAAACCAGGCCAGGGTGTGTTCTGACATCTCAAATGTTGGATTTCAGTCCTATTTCTGCCACTTACTAGAAGGGAGATCTTTTCTTGTGGGGCGAGGGGGTTGCCATGCATTTGGGGGTATTTCGGTTCTTGAAGCAAGGCTCTTCTTCCCCCTTCTCTTGGGGGCTCCAGGAGAAATGCAAGGTTAATAAGGGGCGCCTGAAAGGAGGGGAGCCGGGTTATTTCATGCTCACATCGGAAGTCTGCTTAGGCAACTTGCTGAACTGCCCCCTGTGCTACTCAAGTAGAAAAGAGAATCCGGGGCCGCCGAGTGGCGCGTTGGTTAGGAGTTGGCTTGGGACGCCAGCTCTGAGCAGCAGGGCCCTGGTTCGGATCCCACATGAGGTCCAGTGACGCTGCCGTGAGTCGCTGGCAACGGCAGGACAGTGG